CTGCGTCTCAGCCGGCGCGGCAGTGCCAAGGGCAAGCGTGGTGGCGTGATCTGCACCTGTGCATCCTGGGTTCTGAATCCGGGTCAGAAGGAAGTGATGAGCGTGCTCCCCAGAGAGCTGCGGCTGTTCTCGCCCCCCCCCAGAGTCTGCCTGCACGTGGGCTCCCTGGACCCTCTCCATCAACTTCCTCCCACCCCCACCCCAGTCCAGTGACCCCACCACGCAGGCTCTCTTGGCCACAGAAAGGCCGGGCTTGGCCACAGCGGACTTGTTTATGGCAGGGAGTCCAACAGTTCTGGAAACCAGGCAACGGGGAACCGACACCCTTTCATTAGCACGCACAGCGTCGCACAGTAATTCCGAGGGCAGGCTCGGCCCCTCACACGGCCTCTGCGTGTCTGATGCAGCCGGTTCATCCATGTTTCTGTGTGCCTCCGACACTTTTCATTATAGCTTACTCTGGCCTGGATCTCCCTCTGCTCCCTAAACAGTTCCTCTGATCACCCAGCTCCACAAGCTCCCTTCACACCCACCCGCACAGCTGTGATCAAAGCCATAGGGAGTCATAAGCCTGGGGAGGATGTGGGGGGCCCAGAGCCCCCAACCTCTGCCCCTGGTAACGTCAAATAGCATGGTCTTTGCAAAACAGCTTGGTGGACCAACCCTTAAAAGCTAAACAGAGGTGCTTAGGACCCAGGGGTGTACCGAAGAGAAGGCAGAGCGTGTGTCCACTTGTAGAACCAGCAGTATTCCCACTGAGCAAACGGCGAAGCAGCCCCAGTGTCTACGGGCTGATGGGGGACCCTGTGGAATGTTGGGGAGCGGTGAAAAGAAGGGAAGTGCCGATCCGTGCTGCAGCCTGGACGAGCCCTGAAACCATCCCCGTCAGTGAAGGAAGCCGATCGTGAGAGACCACGTGCCCTACAGTAGCTCAGCCCCTGGGGACACGGACCAGGCGCAGGGAGCCCACGAGTCGGTGCCTGCGGGCAGCAGGGACGTCCCTGGTGGCTGCTGTCCAGTGTGTGGTTTCTGTCGGCCTGAAGCGATGCTAAAATTGACTGTGGTGGTGACGGCTGTGCGAGGCTGCTGCATGGTGCACCTTCGGTGGGTGAACTGCAGTGTGCGACTTGTATCTTGGTGTCAGACCCCCAGGGTCTGCATCCAGGCCAGGCTCTCTGGGGGGGCTCCGGTGTGCTGTCTTTGGACAGACACCCTCAGCGTGCAGTCAGGCAGCAGGGAAGGGGGGACAGCTCAACAGGACACGAGCCCATGTTGCAGGCAGCAGGGCTCAGGGATGCCCGGCCCCTCGGGAAGGCTACAGAGCCCACAGCTCAGAACCAGCCCCCGAGGGGTGAAAGAGTGGGATCGTTCCCGGGAGTGTTGAGTCCCTGTGCATCCAGCGCGGTGCCTGTGCAGGTGCGTGTGCTCCTGCAACCAGGGATGGCCAGGATGGTGCAGACGGACTGGGTGCTTGGGAACGGTACCCCAAGCCTGCAGGCCCCACTGGGGCTGAATGAGCAGAAGGGGGAGGGCTGCTTCACCTGCCCCTCGTCCCCTCATCACCAGCTCCTCCGACATCAGGGTGAGGAGAGGATGGAAGCCTAGGGAATCTGATGGAGTTGAGAGCACTGACTTGCAACCTCTCCCTCCCTCCCATCCACCTTATCCGCGATCATTCCCCTTCTACAACACAGAGGCTAAGCCCCGTTGTAAGTTCCAGAGAGAAAGGATGACCGTCAAGAGCAGTCCTTTTGTTTGAGCGGTACCCCACGCTCGGTTAGCACAGCCCCGGCCAGCTCGCTCCAGCTGCCCGGCTGCACCCAGGCCAGGGGGCTGCTTGTAGCCTTCTCCAGTGCTTCCTTCTGCATTCTCCCAGCTTCCCAGGGCTGCGGAAGCCGAGCGCCCGTGGCTGCAAGCCCAGGCGGTTCTGAGCTCCACGCCTGCCCAGAGCGGAGAGACTCTGAGTGTCGCGTTGCTCATGGAGGCTTCAAACAGCCCCGTCTGAGCAGCCAGGGAAAACAGGGTTAACAGCATCCTAACTGATCCGTCGATGAGAACTTCTTAAGATTTGCTCACCCCCAAAATCTCTCTGGATCGTTTCAGGCTGTGACTGTTCCATGAACCTGACTCCCCACAAGTCCAAGTTGGCCGTGGATGAGCTCTTTTCTTCGCTCCGGGATCTGGCCGGGGCGCGGCGTCTCATGAAGCAGTTCAAGTCCGTGCACGCCCCTGGAAGCCACGGCCACCAGGCAAGTGCACGCCCGCGCCCTCTATGGATCGTTGGGTCCGCGGTTGGCTCAGGGTGCAGAGATGGTGGCCGCGCGCGAGAAGTTTCGGTGTTAATGTCCCCAGGAGAGGTTGGAGCCGGATGGACTCCACGTTCCCTTTCAGTTCAGGGTTCTGGGTTCCGTGGAGTCCGGTAAAGGCTGACGCGCAAGTGTGGATCTGTGCCGCACCGGGCGCAAGGGAACTCCAGCTCCGGGGCTTCCCAGGAACGAGGCCATTTCTGTGGCCGCAGGGTTCTTCCCCTCCAAGGGTCCTAGTGAAGTGGGGTGCACATGTTAGGGCTCTGGGGAGAGCTGGCAGTGCTGTGCTGGGGACCATGGCGTGGCTGTGTCAGCTGGAGCCGCCGGGCCGGGCTGGGTTCTCCTTCTTCCGTGCCTTCAAATCACAGCTGTTTTGCGAAGGGCACAGCTGTATCCAGTGACTCCTGCCACTCCCCCAGCCAGCAGGTGGGACGGGCGTTGCTGTCAGACCCAGGAAGGCACTCGGGTGGCCCACACAGACCCTTCCCCACTGCACACTGGTTCTCATGGAGGGCCTGGAAGCATTGCTTGGCCCTGTCAGCCAATGCTGTCCCCATCATGACACGGACCGTGGAGGCTGGCATCCCTCCTCCCAGGGAGCTGAGTGCTACCACCAGAACACAGAGAAGTCACCCCGTAGTTAGCCGTGTGCCATTTTTATATTAAAAAAAAAAAATCAGCCACCTTAAATACCATAGCATGGACTGGCTCTGAGGGAGCCGGCAGCCCTGGGGAGGCGTGAGGAGATCCACGCGGCTGTGGTTGGCAAAGAGAAGGCAAACCAGGAAGTGACCAAACCACGAAAAGTGGACGCGGTCTCTGCCATTTTGTGATCATCGTGTGGTGGGTGTGGCCAGCTTCACGGCCCCCGTGCACGCTGCGTAGGCAGTGGGGGCGGCCAGGGCTGTGTTTTCTCGCCACCGCCACCCTCGTTTCTCCCTGTCCCACGGTGAAGTCCTTGGGAGATGAACATGCCCCTGATAATATGAACACACGCCCCAGAATCCTAAATGTGGGGGGTGGGGAGTGGGGTCGTGTGTATGTGTGTTGAGGGATTAAGTAAATAGCAACACTGACACAGGGGGAGATGGAGGACCCCCATCTTGGGGGGGCTGGATGGGGGCTGCCCGAGTCCCCCTCCCAGGGAGTGCTCCCAGGGCCTCAGCAAAGCAGAGGCATGTGCCGATGAGGTTGGTGATCATTCTGTAGAGCATTGTTCTGGTTTTTTTTTTTTTTTTTAAGATTTATTTATTGAAAGAGTTAACAGAGAGTGAGGTGGAGGGGGAGAAAGAGATAGAACTTCCATCCAATGGCTCTCTCCCCAAATGGCCACAGGGCTGGGCCAGGCCAAAGCCAGGAGCCAGGAGCTTCTTCCAGGTCTCCCATGTGGGTGCAGACACCCAAGCACCGGGGCCATCTTCTATTGCTTTCCCAGGGCCTGGCAGAGAGCTGGATCGGAAGTGGAGCAGCCGGGACTTGAACTGGTGTCCATATGGGATGCCAGTGTCACAGACAGCCCCTTAACCCACTGCACCACACACCAGCCCCTCATCATTCTATTTTTGAAAAAGTGTAATAAAATTAAAAATGGGCATGTATGTATTTAACAAGCCTTTGGAAATTTAGAAAAAGCAGATAGTGATGGCCCCATGGGGGGATGGGAGTGGTTGGGGGAGTCAGGAGGAAGATTGGTTTCTTGCTTTGGTTTCGTAAATAAAACAAACCCTTCGATGGGATTCTGGGTAAATGTTTTCCCACATTGGGTTCTTCAATATTTTTCAAACTTAAGGAATTGTTAAATTACAGACAGCAGCCCAGGCTCAGGCCGTGCCTTGTTCTCTGCAGCAGTGCTGCGGTGGTACTGGGCCACAGGTGCATCCCTGTGTCACTAGCACGCACCTGAGGGCTTAGGGCAGGGCAGGGGCTGGGGGAGGGGCGTGCCCGTGTCCAGGCTGGGGATGCTGAGAAGGTGGGTCCTGCCTGGGGGGTTCCCTCGGCCTCTCCTCCCATTCTGGACTCCAGTGGCTCCAGCAGGTACCTGTGCTTCCAGCCAGCCCCTGGGGTTCCTGCCCCAGGCCTGGCCTGGGCTGTGTCCTGGCTGTCAGCCCTGCAGCCCAGCCTCCCTCCCGGTGCCACCGGGGCTGCCCCGTGTCCTCTGCTAGCCCCAGACGAGCCTCTTACTTCCTCTCTACCCATTCCTGATTTCAGAAGATGGGTTGGTCGGAGCCAGGTGCAGACAGCAGTCGCCACCCTGCTGGCTTCACGGACACTCAGAGCTGAGTACCCATCAGTGCTCTGGAGAGCCAAGGCCTGGGCTGGGGGCTGGACCTGCAGGGCCGAGTCCCAGGACAAAACCCTGCTCCTCCGGGGGCGTCGGGGCAGTGGGGACCCAGAGGCCACCCCTGCTGCTCCTGATTTGAAGGCCACGGCCGCAGCACCTGAGGTTGTCGGTGTGGCTCTGTCGGGTCTTAGCGGCTGCCCTCTGGCTCGCTGTGTGGAGCACCCTACTGGCTGCCGGGTGTGCTACGAGACTGCTGGTCCACTCTGTGCACAGAAGCCCCAGGTGTAGCCGTCCTGCAAGTCCCCACTGCAGGAGGCCGTGGCGTGGGGTGGGGAGGTCGCCAGGCCGCTGTTGTCTGCAGCAAGCAGCGTGGGAGGCGGCTCTCGCCTGATCCGGCCCGGCATGGGTCGCACAGATGTGGGCCGCCTGTCTCGTCTCTGGTGCGGGGAACAAACACTGCCCAGGGAGGCACGATCCATCTTGTGCCCAGTGAAATGTGGCACTCCGAGCCGTCTGCAGCAACCCGCAGCTCTTCTGTCCCCAGTGCTGCTTCTCTCTCCCCAACCCCAGACCTGCCGGCGGCCTGGGAGAGAACCAGCGAGGGCGGGGGACAGGGACACGTGGCTGGGCCCCGCAGTCCACTTCCCGCCTGCCGGAGTGGGCGGGGCCGCGCTCAGTGTTGTAAAAGTAACAGCCGGGCGGAGGAACAGTTTTCTCCTCTGCAAAACCGTTCCCTTTCAGATGCTGGAAGGACAGAAAAGCCCATCACAGGAGGACAGAAAAGAAGAGTCACCATCAGCAAGGGGTGGCGGGTCGCAGCCGGGTTGGTCGGGGCAGGTGCTTCCTGCACGGTGTTGGGTGGATGTGCTCCCTGAGCCCGGCTTCCCTGATGGGCGGGCTGCAGAGAGGGGCGTCTGCAGCGGCAGCACCGAGCTGGCAACCACAGCACGGCCAGCAAGGACAAGGTCAGAGGCCCCCGGGGCCGGGCTGTGGTGCAGCTCAGGGTTTCTCGGAAGCTGACGTCCCAGGCCAGCTCCAGGTGCTGGGAAGGGAGACTCGTTCCTTAAAGCCGTCTCGGACTGCATCATGCCAGAAAGCCCGAGCCGGGGCCGCACGCTGAGTGGCTGGCGACAGCCACAAGCACTTTACTGCCCAGATCTTGCTGAAATCTGGTGTGTTCGCGGCCTGGAAGAGACGGAGCCATCTGAAGACGATGGGGAGAGAGAAGCTCTCTGGTACGAGACAAGTGTGAGAAACCTCCACGCTTTCACGTGGCCCAGCCGTGGGGGGATCTCCACGGCCTCTTCCAGACCTCAGCCTCCGGAGGCCGGCACGCAAGCCCGCATGATGACCTCGGTAGCTGGCCCCTTCCTCCGTAAAGATGGCTGTCGAGAGTTATGACACCAGCACCCTGGTGTAGACACACACATCGGAACACTGCTGGGAGCTGTACGGTCACTGCTGTCCCCTGGGATTTAAAACTGTAATGCATTTCCAGGGACCTCTGGAGGCAAGGTGACGCTGCGTGTCCCACCAGGTGCTGGGGGCTACAGAGCAGCCCCCACTTGATAGCAGTCTGCCCAGCACAGACACGGCGCTGCCGTCGGGGGAGCCGTGGAGTGGGCCCCGGGAGCGTCCTGCCTCCACAGCTGTGCAGGAGCTGTTGGGTGCGGGCCTGGAGGCCCCAGCTCAGGAGCGCGAGGACACTGGGCAGGTGCAGGAGTCCCGGTGTCTCCTGCCTGCAGCGTTCCTCCGGGTACTGTGCACAGTCACTGCGCTCTGGCCTCCGTCAGATATTCATGGCTCTCCACTCTCCACGGGGCAGCAGCAGCAGCGGTGGGGCCAGCCATGGTTGACATTCTTCCCTTATCGGGTTTCCCGGGAAACAGAGCTGGAAAGTTAACCAGAGGTCAGATTCCTTTGCAGAGGAGAAAGGGGGAAAGACAGGCTGGTAGGGAAATCCTTCATTAACGCCTCGGTGCGAACCTCACGGCTTGTCTGCTGGGGCCTCGCCACGTGGAGCCGGGGCGGCACTTCCCCCCACCCCCACCACCACACACCCAGGCTGCATTCTTAGGTGTTCTCGCTGGTGAACGTGGGTTTGCGATTTGATCTGGCCACAAACTCCCGGGGGCGGTGACAGCCAGGCCAGCCTCTTGAGCTGCCACTCTCCTCCGGGGAATGGTGGGGCCGAGGTGGGCAGGGGCCTGGGTCACCGAACGACTGTGCAGGGTGCACACCCTGGGCTGCCAGCCCACGCCAGAGGTGACAACGAGCGAAGCATAGACGACCAACAAAGAATGATTTAGCAGTTTTTCTTTTTAACTTTTATTTACTTACTGTTGTTTCACTGGAGAGATCCCCCTCCGCTGGTTCTCTCCGCAGACACCTGCGACATCTCCATCCAGTCTCTCATGGGGGCGGCAGGACCCAAACACTGGAGCCGGCATTTGCTGCCTCCCAGGGTGTGTGTTAGGAGGAAGCTGGAATCAGAACGCAGCCAAGACTGAACCCAGGCATCCCAGTGAGGGATGCAGGTGTCCCGAGTCGTTATCTTAAGCATCGTGACAAGTGCCTGCCCCAGGTCATCAGACTTTGAAATTCTTCCCCTTGCCCCAAACCTCCCCCCCTCCTGCTGACCCTGTCTGACGTGGGAGAGACGTCGCGGGGGTCCCAGAGGAATGACACCTGTGTCCCCCTCATCTCCGTCTCCCTGGCCCTCTCTGGGCACCGGGGAGCACCTGGCTGAATGGAGAATCCCATGGCAGTCTGGGGTTCACCTCTGGGAAGGTACTGCCCGGGCCGTTTGTGCCACTCGGACCCCAGCAGCACTGGGGCAGGGCACCGCCACCGGAAGTGGCCGCTGGCAGGAAGGGCACCAAAGCTCTGATGGAAACGCGACCTGGGAAGTGCCCTGGGCTTGAGGCGGTCTCCCGGCCTGTGCCCTTCAAGCCCAGGGGACTGTCGGGCTGTTTTGTGCGCAGTTGTTCCAACCCAGAGGGGTCCCATGACGTAGAAGTTCAGAGGCGGGGGCCAGCGCTGTGGCACAGCGGGTTAAAGCCTTGGTCTGAAGTGCCGGCATCCCGTATGGGCTCTGGTTCAACTCCTGGCTGCTCCTCTTCCGATCCAGCGCTCTGCTGTGGCCTGGGAAAGCAGTGGAAGATGGCCTGAGTCCTTGGGCCCTTGCACCCACATGGGAGACCCGGAAGAAGCTCCTGGCTCCTGGCTTCAGATCGGCGCAGCTGCAGCCATTGTGGCCATCTGGGGAGTGAACCAGCGGATGAAAGACCTCTCTCTCTGCCTCTACCTCTCTCTGTAACTCTTTCAAATAAAATAAATCTTTAAAAAATAAAAAAATAAAAAAAAAGAAGAAGAAGAAGTTCAGAGGCAGCGTCTCCTGGAGTGGTGAGCGCCCGACTGCAGGAACAGCCAATCAGCGGGAGGGGCGGGCCCCGTCCTCAGGTGCGCCAGGCAGCCCTGCCGCAGTGCCCGCCGTCAGCTGTCAGCTGTCAGCCAGTGGGTGGAAGAGATTTCTCTCTCTCTCTCAGGCTCTTTCAAATAAATAAATAAATCTTTTCATTTTGTTTTGTTTTGTTTATTTATCCCCCCTAAGGAAACCCTTTATTTAAGGAATACAGACTTCATGCATTTCCTAAGTACAACTTTAGGAATACAGTGATTCTTCCCACCACACTCGCCCTCCCACCCCTCTCCCACCCCTCCTTCTCCTCCTCCAGTTCCCAGTCCCATTCCCCACTAAGATCCATTTCCAATTAACTTTATACACAGAAGACCTGCTCTGTTCTATGTAAAGAGTTCAACAATTTGCATGGAAAAACAAAAGTAAGTGAATCTTTAAGAAAAGATTGAGAAGTTGGTGCGGTAGGTCTGGTAGGCGCGTTGGCGTCTGAAGGGGATATGAAAGGCGGACGTGGTGCCTGCGGGAGGGTGTCCATCAGAGGCCGCCTCCCCGTACGCACACGATGCCAGCCGTGCCCCGCGTCAGCCTAAGCTTGCTGTGGCTCCCGCGCCCCCCGGGCCCCGTCACTCACCGCGTCGTGCGCGTGTGCCTTTCAGGCGTCCTACAGGCCGCTGCTGAAGCAGGTGCTGGAGGAAATCTTCCATCCCGAGAGGCCGGACCCTGCGGACATCGAGCACGTGTCATCGGGCCTCACGGACCTCCTGAAAACCGGGTTCAGCATGTTCATGAAGGTACGGTGAGCGCGAAGGGGGCACGCCCTGCTGGGGGTGAGCACCGACAGCCCACCGGCCCCGCCAGGCCGCGTAGGCGACATTGGGTGTTTCAGGCCTTCTGAGCTCAAGAGCTGTCCAGCTGTCCTTGGTCACAAGCAGCCTGCGCTCCCGGCCTCGTCCACCCTCGGCTCCGGGCTCGCTGACCTCACTGGTCAGCTGTGCCGGCCTGGTGGTGGGCACACGGCCTGCTAGGACAGTGCCATTGAAGACCCCTGCGCGCGGCCCGTGGTCTCATGTGACGGGAGCCCGTCCGTGTAGCACTCCCTGGCCCTTTGCTCTCAAGTCCAGAACTTACCACGCGGGACCACAAGCAATGTTGCTGGGCCCAGTGACCAGCATCACCCCGGGGCCCATATGAAAATGAGCGCCGTGGGCCCAGCAGACGCCTCGGAGCTAAATGCTGGGATGTCTCTGGCGAGTGTCTGGGTCTTGCCGGCCCTTCCAGTGGGGATCAAAGGAGGAAAACATCCGCAGATGAGATCTATTTTTAACCCTCTGCCAAGTCTGCATTCAAAAGGATCCAAACGAGATCAGGGAGCAAACTCGCCGCGATGCCGGGTTTCGGCCACAGCGGCTCTTGGAAGCAACAGAATGTTTTGCCAGCTTCAAAGCGTCTTTGAAATTGTGAATTAATCTCTGTAAGAGACCTGACCTTTCCCAGTTCAGTAAATGCATATTCCAGGAAAACGGGCCCACGGCAGAAGCCAGGGAACAGCCGCCAGACAGGCCGACTCTTGCCCCGGCCTAGAGGGGCTGGCACGGACACGCGGCGCTGCTTCCTGCCGGCCCCGGGCACCGCCCGCCTCCGTGGCAACTCCCTTCCAGCCTGCTTCCTAGCCTAATAAAGCAGAGAGGACCAGCTTCCTGGGCGTGTTCAGGGGCTCCTGGGCCCAGGGAAAGTGAGCCGAGAGCTGTCCAGCGGCTCCCTGTCCCGAGCGGCCCTTTGTGGCGGCTGCTTCCTTTAAATAAATAACTAGAGAGAGAGGTATATAATTTATTTGAAAGGCAGAGTGACAGAGAGGGAGGGAGATATCTTGCATCCACTGGTTCACTTCCCAAATGGCTACAGTGATCGGCGCTGGCCAGGCCGCAGCCAGGAGCCAGGAGCTTCATCCAGCTCTCCCGTGTGGGTGCGGGGGCCCAAACACTTGGGCATCTTCCACTGCTTTCGCAGGCGCATTAGCAGGGAGCTCGATGGGATGGGTGGAAGCAGCTGGGACTGGAACCAGAGCTCTTAGCCGATGCCGGCACTGCAGGGGGAGGTGTAGCCCACGGCGCACGGCGTCTGCTCGCTACAGAGCCTTCCCAGCTGGGCGGGGCCCCAGTCTCCCTTGGGCACACTCTTCTCCCACTCACAGCCTGGCCTCACTCCTGGAGCGAGACCAAAACAACCCTCGTGGACTTGTAGTCCACTCCCGCGTGGCTTCTGCGCCTCCCTCTGATCGGAAGCCCCTCTCTCCCCCTGCGGCCTTTGCCCAGCAGGAGTTGAAGCAGTCCCTGGGCCAGCACGAGCCGCCGTGTCTCCCTCCGTTCGGCCCTGCAGAGCTGGGGTTCCTGGGTGGCCCAGCTCAGAGGGCAGCCAGCAAGGAAGGAACACGTGTTGTGTTCTGCAGCAGCTGCCAGGATCCGTTCCTGCTCCAGGGGCCCGGGCCAAGGCCCTCTCCACGCAGCACCCTCGGGGCCTCGGCGCCGGCTCACAGGCCACCCCGTGGGACGTGCGGGGACCGGGAGTAGCAGCCGAGCAACTGGCCGAGTCGCCGTTCCTCTCGAACTCAGCTTTGGCTGAGCCTCACCTGGCGCCAGTGATGGGTCCGTGGTCGGCCCAGCCTGGTTCAGAGCCCCGTGTCCGGACCGGTTCACCACGGCCAGGGGCTGCCACGTGCACAGGGGAGACTGCTGTCTTTGGGGTGCACCGCTGCCTACCGCAGGCTCTGCGGCAGGGCTGGGGGAAGCTTTTGGTGGAAATGACGGGTTTCGTGTGAGACCCCTGCACGGGGAGAGGTGCACACACCGCGGAGGTCACGGAGTGCGGCTGCTCGTTCACACATGAAACGGGACCCTGGGGCTGTGCTGTTTCAGGACAGGGTCTGATCAGAGGAAAGCGTCCCAGCATGCACCTCTGCCGATGCAATCAGCGAGGCCTGCAGCGCTATTTATAGCCACTGTTGCTGTTTCCCTTGGTGCTGCCAGGTGGGGTTCACTCTGTGTCTGGCATTCATTAAGTCCGCCCCGCGGTTCTGGTGGGAGGGGCTTTGGTGCAGAGGGTCAAACAGAAACAGAGCCTGGCTTTGGCGGTCTGTCATTTGTGTGGTGGTGAACGGTGCCCACGGCTTGCCAGGGAGCGGGATGGAGGGCCGCAGGGAGGGGCCGGGGAGGAGGGGCTGGACTCACCAGACCGGGAGGAGTCGGAGCAGGGTGAGGGGAACAGGGGCCAGGCGGCCATCAGGGTGGCAGGGAAGGTGGGGAGGGCGGAGGCAGCGAGGGCAGGGGGGCGGTCCCCGGGCACACAGAGAGCAGGCGAGGCAGTAATGAGAGGAGGTCATCACTTGGTCGGGGGTGCAGCGCGTCCACGCTTGTCTGGGTGGACAAGAAGGTAACTTGCCGTTGAGGCTGGTTGAGCTGAGGGACCCGTGACCACACCCACACAGGGCCTGTGTGGCGTGTGCAGGCCATTGAGCTGTGGAGGGGTCGGCGTCCACGGCCCAGGGCAGCCATGGAGCGAGTGGCGGGCGGGGCATCACAGCAGGACACAGGTGCATGGCAGGGCGTCCTGGCAGCCGGGCACCCCCGCCGTGTGACCGGGCGGTGTGACGGGGTGGGCGCGCCCCCGGAGGAGCCGGCGGCGCTCGGCTGCTGCTCGCAGAGAACCGAGCGCTCACAGTTTTCAGAGACGGGCGCTGGTGCAGATGTTGCAAGAGTTCATTTCCTGATGGCAGCGTGCAGACCGTCAGGTGGCCCCGGCCAGGCTCTGCCGAGAGACCCGGGCTCCAGTGCCGGCCTACAGCTCTGCAGCCCAGGGACTTCGGACAGCCGCGTCAGCCCCGAGCCTCCGTGTCTGTCCCTGTGAGGCGAGGCTGCCCCTACCTGATAGATTCCGAGCACTGCGGATGGGACGCTGGCCCCCTCCCCACCCCAGCAGGAGTTCCCACACATGGCTTACAGCAGCAGTGACTTCCTGTGGTCCTCCCCACCTGCTCCGTCCACTGCCGAGTCCCTGGCCCCCAGGAACTGCGCTGCAAGTTATCGGTCGACAGCGTGAATGGATCAGAAGCACAGCCGTCAACTGGAAGCGATCAGTGGCAGGGAAGTGCCCGTCCTGGTGCCCGTGGGAGCAGCAGGGGCCTTCCCTCCAAATCCAAGTGACAGATTCCACCAGGGCCTCTGGGCGCTGTCATGGGGGCCCACGCCCACGCCCACGGAGAGGGTCCCGCACCTCTGCCAAGCTGGGATGGGACGGAGGAGACGCTAATGCAGTGAATGTTCTCAGCAAAGCCCTGGGAGACTGGGAGAGCGAGGCCCCGACTCGCTGTCTGTGGACGTTGGCCGTGACAGCCCTGATGCGAGTCGTCTGCAGTGCCCGTCACCCGGGCCTGCCTAAGGCGGGCTCAGCCACGCAGGAAGGAACCTGGATTTCCCACGAGAAGACCGGGTGTTGCACTCGCAGACAGCCTGCCGACTTCACACGCCCTCAGAGCCACAGAGCCGACCCCAGCAGGCGTTCCTGGGGCCCCCGCTGCCCTCAGCCACGGGCCTGGCGCTGGTTGCTGCTGTGTGTTTGTCTCTCTCCCGCCTTTCCGTCGGCCAGCCCGGCCCTCCAAGGCTGGGAGTGTAGTTGGGCTGCAGACTCCTTCGGGAAACGTGTGTCTTTGGGAGCGCACTGCGCCATGCGCCATGGGGAGCCGGTTGCGGTCCTGTCCCAGCTCTCGGTGAGAAGCAGCAGTGGTGTGCAGGGCTGGCTGGCTTCTGGGGCCGTCCCTCAGCCAGGAGAGCCGCGTGAAGCCGACAGAGTCTCCCAGATGCCCCTTCGAGGGGAAGGCTAGCTTCCTGTCGACCCGGGACCTGCCTCACTCCATTCTGTCTTGTTCTCACCCCACTTCCTGAAAGGCTGCCTCCTGCCCAGCACTGAGATCGGCATGGAGAACAGCAAGAGAAGTCTGCCCTGCCTGCACCCTCCGGGAGCTGCCCAGGGCAGCAGGCCCCTCTGCAAGGCCAGGGCTGAGGAGGGCGGGAGCCAGGCGGGGCGCAGGAGCACGAGGTGCTTGGCAGAAGGGGTCAGCAGAGGCCCCGACTCGCCACGTCCGGGGACACGGGCTGAGAGGCACTTTGCAAAGGCGGGACGGAGGACGCCCGAGGTGCCACGTGACCCGACCTCAGTGTGATGGCGGGGCGGAGACCAGAGCCCACTGGTGTGCCCCTGCCAATGCCTGCTAGACAGCAAGATGGTGGCGACCTTGAAGCGGGGAGAGGGCTCCACAGGGCCGGTTTCCTGTCCCCTGACCTGCGGCTGGTGGCTCGGGTTTGTGCTCTTTGGGAAAATGAGTCTGCATGCTTGTGACAGATGCATGTTTCGATGCGTATCTCCAAGGAAACGCAAGCGGAAAAAAAAGCGAATCTGGCACGTGAGCGTGGCATGATCGTCTGCAACAGTGCGGGGTAGGGTGGAGGGAGAGCGGATTGCTAACGATGGCCCCTGTCGGGGTCACCTGCATTGGGCGGGAGGCTCCCTGGGGCCCCCGGGTGCCATGTCACAGGCTGCTGCGGCCGCACCTATGCCATCTTTCTGATGCTGGCGTGTTTGGTTTTGCAGGTGAGCCGGCCCCATCCCAGCGACCATCCCCTGCTGATCCTCTTCGTGGTGGGCGGGGTCACGGTCTCTGAGGCCAAAATGGTCAAAGACCTCGTGGCATCACTGAAGCCCGGGAGCCAGGTACTGAGCTCGTGACGATGTGTGCAGGAATCCAGAGGCCAGGGGCGGCTGTGGGGAGGGTGGGCCAAGGCCCTTCGCCCAGGGCCCCAGCGCCCCTCTCCCGGCCTGCGCCCCCTCCACCCGCGGCTGTCCGGTCACCTTCTCCCTGTTCCTGCCTCTCAGGCCCAGCCTGGCACCCCTGGAGACCCCTTGCCCACCGTGAGAGGGGACTGGATTGTCGGTGTCCACCCTGACAGGCCGAATTCGCTGGCGCTAAGCAGAGGAGCCCTGAGTAGAAGTCATTGCTGGCAAAGTGGACTGGGCGGGGTCCTTTCTCCAGTCAGCACTAAGTACCCAAGGGACCTGCAGCTCTCCAGGCCCCTGGTCCCTGACAGGTGACCCTGGGGAGAGGGCAGCGGCGGGGGTTGGAGCAGGCCGTTGTCCAGGTCCCGACTGCTCCCCTGTGCCACCCGCCAGGCCCCCTCCCATCCCCCAGGCAGGAAGCTGGCCCTGGGGTCGCTGCTGCTGGCTTCTCAGGCCTGAGTTCCGTCCTGCCTGCCACTGCCTCTGACCCGCCAGAGATCGGGAGAAACGAACAGGCAGCGGGGCTGTGAGCCTTCGCTCCGAGGCTGCGAACGGGCTCCGTAGCACCCTGCCAGGCTCGTCCCCCAGGAGCCGAGGCTGCAGCCTTTACCAGCCGCTCTGAGCTGTCAGGACTCCCCTGCCTGCCCTGTAGGATGGTTTGCGGCTCTGGGCTGGAGGCAGCAGGGGCCCCCTGGGAGAGCCTTCAGAAGGGGCACCCTGCCTCTGGAAGCCCCAGGCTGGCTGGGAGCAGAGCCCGTGGTGCTGGAGGATGGAAAACCCTTGCCTTAGCGGTTCCCCAGCCCGGGCCGAGAGCGGGACCTGGGAGCCGGTGGTTTGCCTGCGGCAGAGCCCACAGGAAAAGGCACTGTGGGCCGCGGGGCCCTAAGGAGTGGGAGTCCCATGCCTTGGAGTGGTCAGGCCGAAGCTCAGGGCCCCGGGGCCCCTTCCCAGCCTGGTCCCCCTGGCGGGACCTGCCTTGGAATTGTCTTCCCAGCACGGGGGCGCAGCTGTGAGCCGGCCCTGAAAGAGCAAGCAGCTTTGTAGTTTGCAGGCAGCACAGAGGTGCGTGCGGCGGCTGCATGGCCTGCCCGGTCCGGCTGTGCAGAGGCCAAGGCCAGAGGGTGGCGGAATTCCAGCCCAGACCTCTTGCCCGGGACCCCCAGGTCCGTCCGCTGAGGCGCCCGTCCTCGCTGCCGGCCACGGGGCCGCCCCTGCTCTCTCGCCTTCCATGAAGTCCCACCCATTGCTCCAGATCCGCCCCACTTCCCTGCTGGCATCCGACACCCGTGCTAGGCCCGCTTGCTGACGGCTCCCCGTTTGCTGGCCTCGTCCCCCCAAGCCGAGGGTGAGTTCCCGCAGGGACAGGCTGGGCCTCCCCAGGCTGAGCCCACGGCAGGAGCTTTTAGGTGACTTGGTAGCAGCGGGTGTGTTGCTGCAGTGGCCAGACCACCTGGTGCTCTCCAGGCGCCCACCGGCGGGATGGGGCCCGGGCACCTGGGGAGCTGCAGCGGGTTCTTGAGCAGGGGAGTGACCCCTGCTGCCCTGGTCACCTGCTGTGGACACAGCTGGGCAATTTCTCACGGGCTGACACCGTGGCCTCATCGAGCCCCTCCCCGTCAGCGGTGTTAAGGATCTGCTCAGTGAGGGGTCACCTTTCCAAGCTAAAGGCTTGTTTGGTTTCTCTTTTTTAAACCAAAGAGCACATTCTTGCTGCTGCTCCTGCCGGCGTGAACCGGACTCTTAGCTCTCCAGACGGTGGTGCGATGTAACAGCGGGCGGGTGTGCTGACCCCACTCTCGGGGCAGATAACGTGCAGGTGTTTTCAAAGCCCCGTGGCCTGCGCCTGGCAACAGAGAGCAGAACCCCAGCGGCTCTGCTGTGTCCCTGCCTATGCCCACTCAGCTGCAGGCGGCGGAGGGCGTGGCCCTGGCTGCCTGCCACTCACCCGCACACGTGTGCCCCCCACCCCCCGCCCGGAGCCTCGGCAGGCCCCAGGAGGAGTCGCGGGGGCCGGGAGAGCAGGTTTGTCCGTGTCCTTGAGCTCCCAGGGTTCACAGGAGGCGGCTTTCCTGGCTGCTTGAACTCCTTAGACACACACAGCAGCCCAGCCAGGCACCAAAGTGCAGACCCCAGCTGCCTGCTTCTAGGAGAGCCGTGGAACCAGGCCTGGCTGCGGGAGACCGGTGCCATGAGCACTGAACCACACAGGTGCAGGGCCACCAAAGACTCGGCCCTGAGCTGCTACCCCAGCCTGCCTCGCTTTTCCCTCTCTGCCCAAGGAGCTGCCCCTCCCCCAGCAGCCCCCTGGTGCCCTGCACTCTCCCACTGGAAAAGCCCAAACCTGCTCCCTCAGCGTCCACTTCTTCTTCTTTTTTTTTTTTTTTAAGATTGATTTATTTATTTGAGAGAGATACAGACAGAGAGGTCTTCTATCCACTGGGCCGATCCGAAGCCAGGAGCCTGGAGCTTCTTCTGGGTCTCCCACGAGGGTGCAGGGACCCAAGCACTGGGACTGTCTTCCACTGCTCTCTCAAGCCTTAGCAGGGAGCTGGATCAGAAGAGGAGCAGCCGGGACTCGAACCGGCGCCCATATGGGATGCCGGCACTGCAGCAGTGGCTTTACCCACTATGCCACAGCACCAGCCCCTCAGTACCCACTTCTTTAGATGTGAGCGAGGCTCATTCTTCTTCCAGGCGACCATCACGTGGGCAGATGAGGACCACGGCCCTGTCCTCCCCACGCGCTCTCCCCCTGGCCGCGCAGCCGCCTGCTCACCCCATGCCAGGCCCTAGGCTCCTGGCGCTGCAGCTTCTTGTGCCCCTGCCTGCCTCCCTGGAACTCAGACCCTGCCCTCCTGGGGGCCGCTGGGGCCGCCCCTGTGCACCCCTGGGGGGCCTCCTGCTGCCTCGCTTTCGGGTTCTGTCCTGCCGCTCTTCTGCCTGCTCCCTCCCCATCCAGCCTCAGCGCTTGTGGGGCTTTTGTTTGGCAATTGGATTTCCTTATGCATTTGTTTATTTATTAGTTGAGAGGCAAACAAAGAAACAGAGAGAGCCGCCATCTGCTACTTCACTCCTCCGTTGCCCACAGCAGCTGGGACTGGGCTGGGCCAAAGCCAGGAGCTGGGATCTTAATGGTCTCCGTGGGCTGGATTAGCAAACAGTGGCACCCAAGCTCCTGGGGACAGAAGCGCTGTCCCTGACTCAGCCTCGCCCATCTGTGCCTGAAGAGGTTCCTGAGCCTGTCTTGACTGTCTTACGTCATCACGTGCAGACTAGGAACAGAGAATGGGCTTGCGGTCTGGGGGCGTGACAAGGACTGGACGCGATGCCCCTCAGCACGCCGGCTCGCCGTGAGAGCTAGCGAGCATCGGCTGTCACCATCCTGCTCATTGCCAGGGTTAACCCGCCAGTGCCAGCAACGGCAGCCTGTCTTGGGAGGCAGTCTAGTTGGGTGAGGCCCTCGGCGTGGGCTCTGACCTAATACCACTCTGTCCACGTGAGAAGGATTTGGACACGGCGAGAGCCACATGTGGATGGGGTCAGATCCCCGTGTCACAAAGCAACAGTGCCACCAAATGCCGGTCAGCAGCGCGGTGGCTGGGCGTGGCCTCCCCGGGGCTCCCGGCCTCAGTCCCTGCCATTGCTCCTGCCCTCCTGGATAAGGGCCGGTAGCCACAGTCCCACTGCCCCGTAGGCCGTGGTCCCTTCTCCCAGCGTGCTGGGTGCCACCCTCAGCCTCCCGCCAGAGGTCTGGTGTTTGTCTCACGTCTGATAACCTGGGGTGGGCCTCCCTAACGCCCACGGTCTGTCTGTCCCCTGTTGCCAGGTGATCGTGCTGTCCACGCGGCTCCTGAAGCCGCTTAGCGTCCCTGAGCTGTTGTTTGCAACGGACCGGCTGCACCCAGACCTGGGCTTCTGATACCCGCAAAGACAGCGGTTCCGCGCGAGCTGGAGATCCCCGCGCCTTCGTCGCCTGCCGCCGCTCCAGAGACGCCTCCCAAACCGGCCGCCGTCGCTAACTGTGGGCCTGTCCCAGTTTGCCCAAAGGGGCCTGGGAGCCACACAGCGAGGTACCTCACCCGGATTGCTCACGTTCTGTCGTAAACATTGTACTGCTGTTTTTCCAAAGGTGCCAGGCCGTCTTTCAGCTGAATCGGCCGTAGCTCCCGTTTATCCTCTGCTGTGGTCTTCGGGTTCCACCTGCAAGTTCATTACTTCCGAGTTAGAGCAGGTTGGCGAGGGTCCGTGCGCGACAGGTCCTCCTACCTCACGTCACCCCGGGAGAAGCCAGACCTGCTGTGAGATGACGTGTGAGCAGAGCCTGCCCCCCTGGAGCTGCCGTGACGGGCAGGACGGCGCCAGTGGGGTCTGAGCCCCGTCCCTCAGGGCCTGAGACGTCCTGGGCGGTGCCAGGAGTCCATGTGCAGCTGCACTGGCCCAGCCTGCTCCCCGGGGCTGCTGGGAATGGCGGCAGGAGAGAGGCGGGTTGGGGGCTGGCCTTGCCTACACGGTGCCCCCTCCAAAGGCACACAGGAGACGGCGAGTCCCCAGGAACCCAGAGGATGCACAGACCCCTGTGGCCGTGAGATTTTGACCCTGTTGAAACAAAGCTTCCCTTTTCTGTACATTTAAATCTCCCTCCCAGCCGTGGCAGAAAACCCTACAGGCCCCCCCCCCCCCCGGTGAGATCACACGCGACCTCCAGCAGAGAGAAGCGCGGGGAACCGAGACACCTCTGGTGCGCGGCTGCCGGGGACCCCGGCGTCTCCAGACGGGGTTTCCCGTCGACGGGTACAGCTGAAAACCCATGTCTATTGCGATTAACAGGCAGAGGAAATAAAATGGAAGCCAAGACGTTCACAGGGGCCTGATTCTAGTTCTCTGCCGGACGCTGTCATTCTGGGGGGGGGCGGGGGACTGCGAAGTCGGGGCTCAGCCGAGACGTGCTGGGGGCAGGGTTGTTATGGACGCCTCTGCGTGCCCCCCCCCCGTGCCCGTTCTCTCGAGGTGCGGAAGCACCAAGACCTCCTGCTCTGAAAGACTTGCACTGCAAGGAAGTAGCCCCCGATGAGTTAGCGCTGAGGCGGACTCTCGTTTTCTAAAGTGAAGAAGCGGGAGTGATGCTCCCGTCATGCCCCACGCCTACTCATTCATTCATTCTTTAGTGCATCTCCAGTCTCGAATGCGCACCGCGTGTGTCCCAGGGGCGGTGAGGGAGCCAGCTGTGCCCGTGAGCCAGTGGTGCTCCCAGAGTGGCCGTACGCGAGTGCCCAGTGCCCCCGGGGCCTAAGCCACAAACCACACGCCCGCAGCCAGAGGAGACCTGGAGGGGGCGGGGCGGGGTGGGGGTGCTGTGAACAGGGGCTGCCGCTCCGTGCGCTCCGTGCTGGCTCAGGTGTGTTTTTATAGAAAACATCTATCTGTGAGTTACTTCACGGCCTTCGTGGCGGCTTTGCAGTTTCCTCGTTTTATTTTTAAAAAGCAATCCAAATGCTTTTCCTGCGCAGCCATCGAAGGGGAACGCTGTGACGCAGTCCGTCCTGACAGTGCTCAGTTCCTGGCGGTGTGGTGGGTGGCGGTGTGGGGAGTGGAGCCGCCGGTTCCTGTCTCTGCGGCTGCCAGGCAGAGGAGATGAGCCAGGCGGGCAGTGGGGCCGAGCGTGGGCGGGGGCAGAGCTCCTGGGAACCAGACTTCGGGTTGAATAAAGAGGGAGGCACAGGCCAGGGCATTGCTCTTTTTTTGAAAAGCAGGGGACCGGCTCTGTGGCATAGCGGGTAAAGCTACCACCTGCAATGCCGGCATCCCATATGGGCGCCTGTTGGGGTCCTGGCTGCTCCTCTTCCAATCCAGCTCTCTGCTATGGCCTGGGATAGCAGTGGAAGATGGCCCAAGTCCTTGGGCCCCTGCACCCACGTGGGAGACCCGGAAGAAGCTCCTGGCTCCTGGCTTGCAGCTGCAGCCATTGCAGCCATTTGGGGAGTGAACCAGCAGATAGAAGCCCTCTCTCTATCTCTCTCACTCTCTAACTCTGCCTTTGAAATAAATAAATAGAATCTTAAAAAAGAAGAAGCAAGACCAGACTAGAAACTTGGCCTAGGCCCTGCAAAGACCCTGCAACTGTTGGTCGAAAGAATTGGGCTTAGGAAGCAGAGCCCATCCCTGGCCTGGCCTCCTGGAACCCTGGGGTGCTGCCCACATTTCCTAGGCACGGGAGGCACTAGAGGAGAGGCCGGGGACACACCCTGCCCGCGGTGAAGGAGCTGGGCCAGCACAGGGCCCCAACAACCAAGGCCCCCGTCCCACCGCCCGGAGCGCTGTGGACCTGTAAGGTGCATCTGCCTGATGGAAGCGTCGCGAGGAGCTGGGCCTGACTCAGTGGAAGCGTGGGGGAAGGGGCCTCACAGAAGGAAGGGAGGAGACTCCCGGGGCCACGCGAGGCTGGAAGTGATGGGAGAACCACGTGCAGACACCTGAGGCTAGAAGTTCAAGGTCAAGGACCTGCAGGTACTGATGGCCTCCCGGCTTGGATGTGTGTGTATGTGCACACACCTGCGCGTCCTGGCCCCTCTCCCGCTTCTCATTAAGCCACCGGTGTTCAATGCCGGGAGCCCTACTTGCCCTGATGACTCTCCTGCCCCGGTCACTCCCCAGAGCACCGTGCTCAGACCGGGCCTCACCCTCTGAATACCTCGCCGTGGGGTTGAAGGGGACAGGCCAGCTGCAGACCGCAGGCAGGGACAAGAACGCAGTGGTCCCACAGACTTCCCAGGGGCAGTGTCTGGAGCCGGACAGCACGGCTGGCCCCCAGTTCCACCTCCTCCACGGTGGTCACTCCTGACACTGGGCACCACCAGGACCCCCCCACACCAGGTTATGGTGAGGACCGAGAGCGCCCACAGCTAGGCCCAGGAGGGTCCGCCCCCGCTGGGGAGGAAGGTGAGGACTGCGTGTGCGGCACGCATCTCTGATGGCCACGTCAGCCACCAAGGAGCCGTGTGGACTTGGAGACTCACACCCTGAGCCACCATTGCCCCCTCCCAGAGGGACCCCCTCACGCAGCGCCTGGGATGAGTCACGGGGCTGAACCTCCCTTCTGCCATGGCCCTCAGAGGGCCCTCAGTGTAGACACAGCCGAGAGCGGTGAGCACCCTGGAGGCCACTTCTGGGAGCGGGGCCTGTGCGCTGGTGCCCTTCCTGCCTGGCCCTGGACTGGCAGTGGCGTCCGGTCAACAAATTCCTTCAGGCTCCCCCCAAGCCCGTCCTGGGAGCCAGAGACAGAATCCGAGCGACAAATGCCCCAGTGTAGCCAAAAACAGACAACTCCAGGGCTGTTTCTCAGGGCGCTCCAGACACGGCCAGATGGCTCGGCCGTCTGGGAAGGAAGTATTGTGGGGGTGCGGGGTGGCTGGCATTTTGGCACAATCAGTGATGGCCCCAATCCTGTTCTCGCAAATTTAGGACACTAGGGAGGACAATAAGAACTTTCTGGAAGCATCTCTCTTCAGTCCTTAGTGGGGGTGCAGGTGGCAGCGCTTTGCTGGGTCACTTGTCACTTGCAGCCATGCTCAGTATTCCTTGGGGGCAAACCCCTGGGGGACCTGTCTTGCCACTCCAGAGCCTGCTGGGGCCGGTTCCCAGTGGCCTGTGGGAGGGGTCTGCCCCCAGGCCTGTCCACTCGCCCAGGCCGTCGGTCAGTGTCCTCACTCGGGATGGAAGAGGAATGTCAAAATCCCATTTCTCACCAAAACAAGGGGCTCCCTGCAAACACACCCATGGGTCCCAGGCCGCAGAGAGGGTGGACAGAAGCCCAGAGATCCATGGCCACAGAGCCTGAGCGCCACAGCACCTGGGTTTTTTTTTTTGTTTTTTTTTGTTTGTTTGTTTGTTTTTTTTTTGACAGGCAGAGTGGACAGTGAGAGAGAGATAGAGAGAAAGGTCTTCCTTTTCCGTTGGTTCACCCCCCAGTGGCCGCTGCGGCCGGCGCACCGCGCTGATCCAAAGCCAGGAGCCAGGTGCTTCTCCTGGTCTCCCATGCGGGTGCAGGGCCCAAGGACTTGGGCCATCCTCCACTGCCCTCCCGGGCCACAGCAGAGAGCTGGCCTGGAAGAGGAGCAACTGGGACAGAATCCGGCGCCCCAACCGGGACTAGAACCCGGGGTGCCGGTGCTGCAGGCAGAGGATTAGCCTAGTGAGCCGCGGCGCCGGCTCCTGGGTTTCTTCTGACGACACTGGAAAGCCAGACACAGGACAGATGTAGGCGCCGCTCCGTGACAGACGGCCACTCGGTGCCCCCGCCCGGCCTAGCCATGCTCCTCACCCAGCAGGGCTGTGGGCCCCAAGCAGCTGATGGCAATAGCAGATGTGGCCAGAGTGGGGGGCAGGCGGATGGAGGGACGCGGAGGAAGCAGGACGCGGGACAGGCCAGGGCACGGAGGGAGCGCGGTGTGGGCAAGAGAGAGAAGAGGTCGGGCTCCGTGGCCATGGCCAAGTCAGGCTGTGGCGTCCTCCCCCAGGCCTGGGGCACAGGTCCAGGCTCTGCCGCGCTGGGAGCCGGGCCCCCACCCCCTCCCTCGGGCCCTCCTGCCCCCTTTCCTCAGTTCCCAGGCGTGGCTTCCGCCTGTGTGGTCCTCACAGGCCCTGCACTCTCTCAGCCTCAGTTTCGGAGACTTTTAAAATGCAAGACTGGTTCTTGCCTTCCTCTGGGGCCTCCTCCTTCCTCCGTGTAAGCGGAGCCGTGAGTGGTCAGTGCTGGCTGATTCCTGCCCCCCGCCCCCGCTCCCCTGCACCCGCCATCTCCACCCTTGGGGCTCCTCCCCTCCCCAGGTGGCCAAGGAGGGCCCTTCCTTGCATGCTGGTGGGCACGCCCCTTGGTCACGCCCGATGCTTGAAACATAAAACAAAAATGAACAAAGAACTGAGCAAAAGTAAAACATGTTCTGGCCGGCGCCGTGGCTCAATAGGCTAATCCTCCACCTTGCGGCGCCGGCACACCGGGTTCTAGTCCCGGTCGGGGCGCCGGATTCTGTCCCGGTTGCCCCTCTTCCAGGCCAGCTCTCTGCTATGGCCAGGGAGTGCAGTGGAGGATGGCCCAGGTGCTTGGGCCCTGCACCCCATGGGAGACCAGGAAAAGCACCTGGATCCTGGCTCCTGCCATCGGATCAGCGCGGTGCGCCGGCTGCAGCGGCGGCCATTGGAGGGTGAACCAACGGCAAAAGGAAGACCTTTCTCTCTCTGTCTCTCTCTCACTGTCCACTCTGCCTGTCAAAAAAAAAATAATAAAATAAAAATAAAAATTCTTAAAAAAAAAAAAAAAAGCAGCAAGTCTTTAAAAAAAAAAAAAAAAGTAAAACATGTTCTAATTCTGCAGCTATAAATAGTCAACGTCAGCTGGAGACAGCGGGCAGAGCGCCAGCCCGGGCGGCTCCCAGCTACAGCCATCTCCCTCCCTCCCGTGCCTGTCTCCCAGGTGGCCCTGAACAAACCACTCTCTCCAGACGGACCAGAACAGGAAGGCAAGGCTGTGCCCAGCACAGGGAGAGGCGCTGAGGGGCAGGGCCCAGGGCTGAGAGGCAGCGGAGACCCAGAGGCCGCAGGTTTGCGGGCAGACGCAAAGCGAGGGGAGGCAGCCCGGCGTGGAAACACCGTGCAGCGCAGGGTTACGCCCAGCCGGGGTACAGGGCCATGGGGGTGCGTGAGCAGCCTCCCTCCTCGCGCCCAAGCGAGCGATCCTCCGAGGTGTCGGGGCCTAAGGGCACGGGGGACATCACCACGAGCCGTCGGGGTGTCCACCCTGACAACAGAGCTGAGGACCTCAACAGCGGATGCCTCGGGCTCCCCCAAGGCCACAGGCACATTGGTCT